TTCCCTTACTGTCGCATCCCTCCCGAGGGCATACCGTTCCCTTACTGTCGCATCCCTCCCGAGGGCATACCGTTCCCTTACTGTCGCATCCCTCCCGAGGGCATACTGTTCCCTTACTGTCGCATCCCTCCCGAGGGCATACTGTTCATTACTGCACTATTAGTGCATTCCATTTGAATTGGGAAGTCGGAATATCTGAGTTCCTAGTCAGAAATCTCAACTGGAACACCTCCTGAATTTGGATTTCCGACTCGGAAAGTCAGAGGAACCTCTGCACTAGAGGGCTGCATGGGAATGGGGTAAGTGGTAATGCTGTGGATGTCTGCAGAAACCGCGGGAATTCCCCCGGTATTCCCATGGAGATTGTAATAAAGTATTGTAACACCACAGTAATTGCTCATATATGCATATTCTTATATCTGCTACATTAAAAGTCCTTCTGCTCTGTTAAATTATTTGTTCTCACCCCAACACCACCGGGTGGCAGCGTCAAGTGAGTAATATAATAATTACGGTATTTAAAAGCAAATATGGGCATTTTCAATTTCACACTGTATTGTTGGTGTTCTGGGGAACGCAGGGATGGGTTTTTGTTGAGGGGGACGGGTGGGATGGGGTAGATGTTCAGGGGGGCAGATAAGGACAGGGTAGTTGCCACCCCAGCGCAGAATGCTACACTACAACCCCGACCGCCGAAGTCAATATGGCTGTGCCCCTCATCAACAGAAGTGAAATCTGTAGTTATATACTGATTATCAGCACAGACGTCTCATTAAATCGGTCGTACACACAGTACCGTCCAACCTCTATCTGTGGACATGTTGCTACAGTGGTTTTATGTGCAAAATACCTCATAATGCATTGTTATCAACTGGTATTGCTAAGAATGGCTAACAACGAACTTGGCTAAAACTGTTATTTCTAAATGGCTTTCCGACTTGCTGTATCCGGTACAACACGGTTAACTCGAGGTAAGTGGAATGCAGCATGTATTTCACCTGTCACAAAAAAACATGCATGTGATTTTTGTCACGCCCATGGTGCATGATGTACTGGACTGAGCCAGGAGCTGTGCTGTGATGTCATAAACAAGACACTCGTGTCTTACTGGAGTAAAGCCCCTGCTGTGCAGTGACATCATCAATGAGCGACAAAGGGGTGGGTACCATACCTGGCGCTGGCAGGGCTGGGGGCGCTGGGCGACTCGGCCCCCAGTCGGCAGCGCTCCAGCTGGCTGGCCACGATCTGCCGCTCTTCCTCCAGCTCCCGCGTCAGCCGCTCGAACTGCAGCTCCTACGGCAAGCAGCAAGGGACAGCAGGCTTAGGAGCGCCACTCACTCAGAGCAGGTTGTGAACAAGGCACTTTTCCTCTGGCATACAGGAACTAGGCTGTACCTGAGCTGCACCGCGAAGAGGAACCAGCTACAGCTCGGTTACAGCTCACTTTGGTTTTCCATTGCAGGAGGGTCAGCTCAGTAAGGGCGTCGTTAGGTTCGTGAGAACTGTGTTATGTTAGCATCAAATGCCAGGGGAAGTAGCACTCGCGTGCATAATTAGCATTACAAATCCATCCCGATCAGTTGATCTATAGTAATTTTTGTAGGACTTGTAGGAATTTTGAAGAAATGCATCGCGATGTGCAATACTACTAATAAGGAATAATATATATATTACAGAGACAGAGAGAGAGAGAGAATATACACTTATTTATTCTGATAATCCATGCACAGAAAACCAGTATCTCCCTACATTTTGACCAATCAAAAGCTCCGTTTGGTCATGCTTTCAGCCCTCGCAGTGCCGGTGCGACTGGGGTACGGATCTCATACTATACATTGGATAATTGCCAGTTCATGGTATGGCTCTGGTACAGCTCAGTACTTGGTGGCAGTGGGAAAGCACCATTATTAAAGGCACTATATCGTCTGTATGATAGTGCCCCCGCCTCCCAGGGAAAGGATTGCCATAACCATCCAAAGGGACAATGTAATCCAGGCACCCAAGAGATGCCCCGACCCCTAGAAGGCTGAAATACCTGAAAAGGGACGAATGAACAAAATTAGCCTATTAGCTGTCAGCACCTTCTCTCCGATTGGCTGTACTGAAAGGGGAATCACCATATTCTCATCGATGAATTTAAACATGACAGTTTTAACAACCGTATATTTACGGTCATATTCTTCCCCGAAGATGACGGCATACAGAAGCGGCACACGACCGGAAAGGATGCTTTAGTCTCAGCATGGGATACTCTCGATCCGCTTCTGCAAACATGCATCCTTTCCTTGGGGATGCGAGCATCTGTACGGCACTGGAAATACAGCAGGAAAACGCATGGAATCACACCCTGCAAGTACGCGGGGGGCGGCGGGGGGGGGACAATTACGCCCTTAAATGAAGTACCATTTCATTAGGAGATTAGAGACAATCACTGCAGGAATTCTGACTCATCCGTCATTTTGTAACAGAGCAGGGAAGGACAGAAAGGCTTTGGCGGCCCGTACTGAACCCGGGTGCGACCCGCTGGGACCCACAGCGCCGCGTAGCTCGAGATGACGGCCAAGGGGTCGCTCTGTGCGATGCCTCAGGACCCGACAGGAATGGAAGCCTCTGAATTAGCGGTAAGGCTGGCATCATTAAAAATCATCCAAAAGACATAAATGTCGAGAACAGAGTCACTCTGCTGCATAGGGGGACAGACTGTTCGCAGGAAACCAAAAGGAGGATAGCCCTGTCGTGACAGGAGCGGCTTGCAGAACCTCCGGGAAGTGCCCGCCTCCCACGCGTGAGCCTGACACACGCCCGCAAGGACCGGCCCCTCCCGGCAGGCTCCCTGTAATCTGTGGCATCCATCCCAGACGGGGGCCTGGGAGCCGCAGCGGAACGCGGAACGCGGAACGCAACGGATCCCAGAGAGACAGTGTGGGGAGAGGGACTTACTGCACAGAAGAAGCAGGGCCCTGACAGGGCAGTGGGGGCTTAGCCACAGGACCCCCCCTCCCCGAACTGGCCTTTTATTAAAAAACTGGGGGGGGGTAATAAGGCCAATGAGCTGTTACGCTGAGACACACCAGGAGACTGGTGTGTGAAGGCAGAGCTTACCGGCATGTAAAGACAGCCCACCCCCGGGGGGCACTGAGCGCATGGCACGCTCACGTCTGCGTTGCCGTGGTGAAGTGCACAGAGAGGAGCGTCTGCCCAGCACAGGGACAGGCCGCTGACAGACACACAGACACTCTCACACAGACAGATACTCTCACACAGACAGACACACAGATACTCTCACACAGACAGACACACAGATACTCTCACACAGAAAGGCACACAGATACTCTCACACAGAAAGGCACACAGATACTCTCACACAGACAGGCACACAGATACTCTCACACAGACAGACACACAGATACTCTCACACAGACAGACACACAGATACTCTCACACAGACAGACACACAGATACTCTCACACAGATACTCTCACACAGATACTCTCACACAGATACTCTCACACAGACAGATACACAGATACTCTCACACAGACAGTCCCTCATCTAATCCTCCGTACTGAAAACCGAGCATGTCCCAACCACACCCCCACCCCCCCCAAAAAAGGGAACCCTTATTCAGCAGCAAATAGGGGGATTAAAGCCACACAGACGCACCGGCTGGGGGGGGGGGGGGTCAAGGCTGGCTTGTGGGTTTGCAGCATGACAAAAGTTCCTCCGTCGATGCTTTGCAGACTTGACGACTTTAAAATCTTACTAAAGCTTTTTCTTTGAGGGGGAGGGGGCACCCAGGCTTGGGGCGGGGGGCTCAGATGGCTGAGGGACATCCCAGAACCCATCAGGGACAGAACCAGGATGGTGCCGCAGCTCGAAGCTCAGAAGGGACAGAAGACAGAATTTTTTCCTTTTTAATGCCTTTCTTTTAAAGAAACCCAAACGGCCCTCTGCGAGACACCCCCCTCCCCAATATCAAACAGAAACAATAAACCAAGCCCACAGAAAAAGGACCCCCCCTCGCAGAGGGTGATGTGTGGAGGACAAATGTCTAACTCTTGGGACACCCCCCAACCAACCAAACATGGGCGGGATGCTGCCACCTTTGCTTGTGCTGTGAAACTCCTCCCAAGCTTGTCGGAAGCCCCCCCCCCCTCCGTTTGGACACAGCGCCATGCTTTCTGTCCTAGACCAACACCCATTACCCAGGATACAGCCCGGGATTTACGTGGGGTGCAAGCCCCCCCCCCCCCGACAGGCTATGTAAAGAGCAGAGATGCTAACTGGTTCACAGCTGAGAGCTGATATACTTTCTCGGAGAAAATGGGGTGTTTTTGTTAGGTGGGCTGCCCCCTACTGGAGGGTAGGGGAGGCAGCACACAGATTTCCTTTTTTTCCCCTTAAATGGACCCATCCACAATGGAGCCACATCACACCTGTGAAGTACTCATACGGGATGGGGGGGGGGGGGGGGGGGGGGGGGGGGGGTTGAAGCTTTTATAAAGGGCTCACAGTAGCAGACAGGAAGCGAGATAATCCAGAGGAACAGCGTCCCGGGACCCGGCGGGAGAGGGGCCATCTCTCGGTGGGGAGGAAAGGTCAAACCCCCCTGACCTTTATCTCGTTGCCCAGCCAGCTGACTTAATCCCGAAGGAGGAGAGGATGCCCAGATGTGGGCGGACACGCTGCGAGTGGCGGGGGACAGGCAGCGCCCTCCAGTGGCAGCATGGCGACAGCACGCTCCAGGAGCTTCAGCATAAACATGCTGCGAGACCATTAGTGGGGGAACTGAAGCAGAGAGTCTCTACATCACTGGGGGGCTCTGCATGCTCAAGGAAAAAAACAGAGTCCCCAAACACTCTGACAGGGCTGCTCTCCGCACGCACAGACACACACACACACACACACACACAGACACACACACACACACACACACACACACACACACACACACAGACACACACACACAGACACACACACAGACGCACAGACACACAGACACACACAGACACACACACACACACACATTCAGCTCTGCGTGTCCCAGCACTCATGCCCCCACCTGTTCCTCCCCACCCCTTGAACCCTCAGACTCCCTAATGAAACTGAATATGACTCCAGTTCTGCTGGATGTCCTAAACCAGGCGTGACTCCGGTGGGGGTTGTGTGAGACACCGGCACCTGTGAAGGGGGGTGGATCCGGGGTCTGGGGCAGAAGCCAGCTGCCTTTCTACCCCATTAACCCAAAAAAGGTGCAAGCAGCCCCCCCCCAAACACCTGAGAGCCACACCCACAAACCAACAGCCTGTAAATCCCACAATCTGCCAAAATCTATACAGGTCATTGGGTGGGGCAGAGCAAGAAGGAGCAGCTCGCAGCCTGGGAAACAGGGCGGGGGGGCAGGGGGCCGACTCCATGACCCTTTGCGGAGCCCTACCTCTCGTGGCCAGAAGGGGGCGTTTTTGCATTGAATCTGCCTGTCAAGTGACCTCAGGACAACCTCAACCTTCTCAACATCTTCCCTGGGGGGGTGAGTAAAAGGTCACCATTATTCATGAGGAAGGTGCTTAGCCTGGACGCTGTGCCGCGACAGCGCCCCACGCTGGCCAGTCGGTCCCTGTGACGCAGGCACATCCCGGCAGGTGCCGCTGAAGCAGACAGCTGATCTTTGGGACGGGATCAGTAAGCAACTGCCTGAATAATGGAGGCGGGGACTGAATCAAGCACATTAGGATCCAGATTCACAGTCGCCAGGGGCAGGCGAGACCCCATAAAGCGATGGTGCACTCATGCCGTTCATTCGTTCGTCTTTTTTGAATGTTAAGGTGCCAAAGACGCTCTCTTAGTGGGATATTATGAGACTATTTTTTGATTCAGCCAGAGGCAGACCAAGCTCTGATGGCCTCAGTGTCCATTAATACACTCTCACTCACACAGACACACAGACAGACACACAGACAGACACACAGACAGACACACAGACAGACACACAGACACTCTCACACAGACAGACAAATAATCTCATATACTGAGACACAGACACACACAGTATGATCGCGCGCACACACACACACAATACTCTCACATACACACGAGTACAATCTCTCTCACACACACACACACACACACACACACACACACAGAGACACACTCGCACGCCGTCACTCAGCCGCTCCCCAAAGCACAGCAGTACTTCCCCCCTCCCACGCGGCCGGAAAGCCCGCTGTACCTGGCATAGACTCAGCCCTGGAAAAAAATTGCGGGAAAGCTTCAGATTCTGATATACCCAGCGAGTGTGAGTGTG